CAGGTCTTTGAGAAGGGCTGGGGGGTGGGGAGAGGGCGTGAGCTACAAAAGCAGACCCTGCGGGGATCATCCTGGCTTGGGGGGATCTGATCTGCAATTAGATCTAAAGCCATTCCTTGGGGGCCAGCACAGCAGCGTAGTGGGTAAAGCCGCTGCCTGCAGTGCCAGCATCTCATATAGGCACCAGTTCTAGTCCTGGCTGCTCCACTTCTGATCCAGCTCTCTGCTATGGCCTGGGAAAGCAGTAGAAGATGGCCCAAGTCCTTGGGCCCCTGCACCCATGTGGGAGACCTGGAAGAAGCTCCTGGCTCCTGACTTCAGATTGGCGCATCTCTGGTTACTGTGGCCATCTGGAGAGTGAACCAGTGGATGCAAGACCTCTCTCTCTCTCTCTCTCTCTCTCTCTCTCTGTAACTCTGCCTTTCAAATAAATAAATAAAATCTTAAAATAAAATAAAGCCAATCCTTGGGCCTCACTTTTCAATTGTGAGGACAATTCTTCATGCCTCAGAGGGTTGTTGGAAGGGTCAGATGATAAGGCTTCCAAGAGAAGCAGGAACAAAGTAATGAGGAAGCACGGTCTTTGGTATGTAGCCCCGATGTAGCACTCATCACAGTGTTGTGGAATAGCATATCTCTACGTTTCTGTTGTGTCAATTATGTCAGAAGTTCCCTGTGACTTATTGGTCTCTGTAGCCTCCTTGCCTGTAAGTACAGTAAGTTCCAGTAAGACTGGAACATCACAACCAGTCATTCATTCTTTTAACAAGAATTTACTAGACCTTTTCAGCCACCAATTCTTGATCACTGCTTTCTGCCTGCTTCCCCAGTACTGAAGCCCTAGACCCCCGTGGGGGACAGGCCGATATGCCACTCAGATGTCCCTTTGGAACTGAACACCTTCTTCATTCCCTCAGCTCCAAGAGTGCTGCTGGTTGCTGGCCCTCTGTGGGAAATGTCCAGCTGCCCCCTCAGACAGCCCTGCCTTGCCCAAGGCTATGCTCCCTCCTTGGGGGCAGCCTGCATCCAAGAACTGGTCCCTTCACCCTAACTCAGAACAACTCTAAAGGGGCAGCTGGGCTCCAGAGCTCCCCCAGGGGTCAGTTGAGGCTGCCATTGGGATAGTTTTGCAGCCCAACTTCTCCCTTGAACCAATAGCTCACCTGACCCTTAAATTTCAGATGTGGATTCCAAGGAACTCCAGAAAACTTCCCACATGTGAGCTGCAATGCTCCCCGCCACATGGTGGTCCCCAGGCTAGGTTTGTGGCTCTGGCTCAGCATCTGGGAATCCTCCATTCTGAGTGATCCCAGGACCTGCACCAGTCCCTAGGGCCCAGTTGCTGTTCATAGGCTTCACTCACAGTCACATTCCTCTCTCTCTCCCTCACTCCCTCCCTTCCTACAAGTTTTTCCTTATAAAATGCATTTGAACCCAAAAGAATGGAAGATATAGGCCTGTGAACAAATAATTACAGCAATGTAAAGGATGTTAATGATACAGACATGAACTTGGTGCTAAGCTAAACTCAATCTGCGGATTTGAAGGAAGGTTTCCGAGAGGAGGTACCATTTAAAATGAATCTTGAAGGCTGAGCTGGAGTTTGATGGGTGGGCAGGGGGTGTGGGAGAGTCATTCCAGACTGAGGGGCCAGCAAGCCAGAAGTTATGAAAGAGTGTAGGGTGGAGACAGGAGATAGAAATGAAGTCCGGGACAACAATAGGGGCAGATCCTGCAGGGCCTCCTGTGCCACACTGAGGAAGCTAGTACTCAGTAAACTTCTGCTGAACCCATGCCACATTCCAGTGTTGGCCAAGCTTCAGCCATTTTGGTAGCACTTCAACAAGTTCTGCTATCTCTAGGCACCAGAGGTTCTATTTACTATTCACTTACTCTTTTGCTCTAAATGAATTTTTTGCTTAAATAAATTTGCATTCAAAGTAACTTTATATGGTAACCAGAAACCAAAACAAAAGGAATATCACTTGCCATAATTAGAAAGTAGCTGCAGAAAGAAATACAATGGAAACAGAGCAGAATAATTATTAAATTTCATGTAGATATTGTTGCCTGTCAATGTCTTTGAGCCTAAGGCCTGCTCTGCTTTGTTAGGAAAGAAGATTAGCAAGCACTAAAGAGGATGAAGAATAGCACTACACTGAGACTTTCTCCTTGATGTCCCCAGAAAGCTGGAAAGAGAAGGAAAAGAGAATCATTTTCTCACCATGTAATTCAATGTTCTTTAAAGCTGTACCATGTACCATTAATCACCTTGGAGTCTCCTCCCTGCTACCCTGCTGACTGTGAAAACAGTTGGTAAGCAATACAGATTCCGACTCATGTGGTTGTTACTGGCTCTCTGGAACAATCGCGCGGCTCACTGAAGGTTTCCAAACCTCAGCACTGTGGGGGAGAAAGTAGTGGGTGTGAGGCTGGGGACAGGGCAAGACTCTGATGCTCCTAGACTCTTGAACCTGGAAGGGTCCGAATAGATGTTCCTATCTTCCCACTAAACAGCTGGGGAAACTGAGGCCACAGGAGGGACATACTTTGCCCAAGGCTGCATTAGGAGCTCATGTTAGTACTCCAGGAGACGGACATAGGCAAAAACAGTATATAGCTTATTGTGTCAGGCTACTGGTCCCAGGGGCTGTTACTGGTAACTGCAAGGCAGAAGAGAATCAAACATGGAAGAAGCCAGCCTATGAAGCTCAAGAGCAGATACTACTGGGCTGGGCTCCTCAGCTAGGGGTAGAGGTTGCAGTGGGCCCGAGACCTGATGTAGGTAGGCAATGTGAAAAGAGCCTGCCAAGGGCTCAGTGGTTTGCAAAAGCATCTCAAGGAAGTGAGGGAGGCCGACACATCAGAACTGCTGCAAAGGGTGGTGCCCATGGAGACAGACACATCCAGGGACTGGGCAAAGCCAGGAAGCTTTCAAGTTTGACGAGCCTAGGTTCAGTGCCAGTTCTGTCACTTTCTAGCTAGCTGTGTGGTTTTGGATGAGTTCCTTTACTCCTCTGAGCCCCAGCCTCCTCACTGGGTTATACTATGGGCAATGTTAGCAGTATCTCATAGGATAGTTGTGTGGCTCACACGAGGCAATACATGAAAATCTTCCAGGACCAGTCTGGCTTCTCCTTATTTAGCATTGCTTCCCCTCCCCCTCTGAGGCACATCCAGACCCTGTGCCAACACAATTTCTTGCTCCCTCTCCTCCTAAACTTGGGCCCACTCCTCTAGGCCATCTGTCTCATGGTTGCGCTTATTCCATAGGGTTAGGAGGAGACTTCCAAGTATTTGTAGACAAGAAAGTCGAGGGGGTCATTTCAGAGGGTGGGATGGGAACTTTGTTCACTGAGAGACAGAGGGGATGTTGTAGGCTCTGGGCAGAGGCCTGGCCAAGCAGCCTGTTCTCTCTCATCAGAGGGGGAGGCGCCTGTGTCCTCTATGGCTGCTTGCGGCTGGGCTCGGCTGGCAGAGAACAAAGGCAACCACCGGTCTCCCATCGCGTTGGAAGGCAGTGCCTGAAGCAAGTCCCTCCAGTCAAAGCTACAAGACGGAAGGTTAAATATAGCCCTTTCCACTTGTCTAGGACATAGATTTATGAAATGTCAGAGCTATGTGAGAGTGAGAAACGATCTTATCCCTGCTCTGTGCTTAGAGAGTAGAAGGGAGGTAATAGAGAAGAGAAATAAAATCCGGACTTTCACCAGCGGGCAATGGGAGAGCACTGGAGGATTGTCAGCCTCTGGTTCTGTTATTCAGAGGCTTGCTCTGCTCTCAGGGTGGATGGGCCACAGAGTGGACACAGGGGTCCATCAGGAGGGTACTCGGATCAGGTTGTGGAGGTGGGAAGAGGGGTCGGGGTGGGGCCGGGCCTCCATGCCAGGTACAGTGGCCCCTCCTTCCCTCTCCCCCTCCCTGGGAAGAAGGCAGGGCCCCATCCCCCATGCCCTTGGCTTCTCAAAGGCTCATCTGTGAGTCGGAAAAGGCGACCTGTCCAAAGGCACCCATCCCTTACCTCCTCTTCAAGGCAGCCTATTGCAACCACAGAGAATCTGTCTGAAAGTTTCTCCTTGAGCACAGGTCTCAGCTCTGCCACCTGAGATCCCACTCAGACCCCATGTACTCCCTTCACCCTGTGAAACCCCTCAAAGACCTTAAGACCAAAGACAGCTTTCCTCCAATTCTTCTCCACGCCAAGAAGCACGTGGTCCTCCCGCGACTTTGTGTTTGGTCTCACGGCTCTGTTTTCTAGTTGCTTTAATCACAAACTTTTTCTGAGTGTTCTGTTGCCATAAAGGGCCACCTGGAACCCCAGAGACATAGCACGGGTTCACGGTCTCTCCTGCCACACACCGCTGCAACTGCAACAGTAGCTTCCCAGACATTTTCAAGTCGCGTCCCCTACTCTGTCTTATTCTCTTCACAGAAGTCCTATGGCACAGGACCCTGAGATGGATTCTGCTTTATTGTGAGAATCACAGGTCTGGCTTTACCCGTGACTACAAAGGACTTGGTGCCTTAGTAGTAGTGATCTGTGAGCAGAGACGACCCGTGGTACACACCTTTTTCCTGCCTCTCCTTATCCGCCCCCTCCCCCGGAGGGGGGTTTTGGGATTGCGAAAGCAAATTCGGCATTTCTGCAGGAACCCAGGAGGCAGAGCACCAAGATGGGAATCCAAGGACCAAGTTCCCAGAATTCATGTTAAGTCAACTTACGGACAACAGGAGATGTAGTAGTTCTTACACACACAGACTTCCTCAGTCACTTTTCCTAGCCCAGAACATCAGGGTTGGGATGTGATCACATCCACCTTCCCCCCCCCCCCCCCAAGTGAATCCCCTGGCACACCTCTAGTAATTAGGGACCCACTCCCTCTCAAGTCAGCCCAGGCTGCCACAGCACAGCTCCCAGTGCAGAAAGCTCCTCCTCCAGCCCCAATTCTGTCCCTTTCTCCCTCCACTGAGTGCACGACCCTCCTCCCACAACCACTCACCTCCCCGGCTCCAGAAGACAGCGACAGACTCTGCTCTCTCCATCCTAGCGGTGTGGATAACCAAGAATCCACCTCCAGCAACTCCTCATGCAAGACAGAACTGTGTGGTGAGCCCACACGGCGGGCAAGGAGCTGCTGGGCTCCACGCTGTTCTGAACCCTGTCCCCAGGCTCCTCAGGGGGCGCCCAAGGACTCTTCCTAAACCTTGTTTCCCAGCATCCTGCCTGGGTCAATTTGGCCCATTAATCACATGCTCTGTTGCCTGGTGTGGTTGTTCCTGGGCAGCCCAGCGCAGCGAAACCAACTCAGGATTCAAAGAGTGAAGTTCCTCTCTCTTCTTTCCCACCCCTGGCCCTCGATCCAGAGCCACACAAGTCCTGTCAGCAGCCCAGTCACTGCGGCCCAGCGAGGGAGCCGTGAGTCGAGCTTATCTTTCTCTGGGTAAGGTTCTCAGCCACAGGCCGGACTCAGAGCTGCACGGAGGGTTGAGCTCCCGCTCAGCTGCTGTCCTGTGGCGAAGGGAAATGAACAGGAACTGGCTGTCTGAGTCAGCGCCCCTGGTCTATTGTCACCGCGCGGGCCCCTTCCTTCCCAGAGGAGAAACGTGCACAGAGATAGGCCTTGTTTTTTGCAAGTCTCTCCTGCACACACACACACACACACACACACACACTTTCTCCCTTGGCCTGGACCGATTCTGTGAACTATGGCTGGATGCAATTCTATGCAATTTCACAACCATAAAGCAAGGGCCTACTCTACAGAATGCAGAGGTTCTCTGCTATTCTCCTCATCACACGTAGGAGCTAATGACGACCAGTCCCATTTCACAGGGGGGAAACTGAGGCTCAAAAAAGGAGGGAAGGGGCTTTTTCCCAAGGCCCAATGCTTAGGGAATGTTGCGACTTGGCATCCACCCTTGCTCTCCACAGTGTTGGGAGAGCCCTATGTTAGGCCTCTCCGGGAGCATCTTCACTCCAGCCAAAAGGTTGCAGATTCTATCAAAGCCTATTTCCCAGGATGCACAGCACAAGAGAGTCACTGCCTTTAAAACACAGAGAACATCTTGTATGTTTAGAAGGACAGATACCCAGGAAACAAGTCACACATGCTGGAAACTGGTTACACAGGGCCTCCTTTGGTACTTGGTACTGAACGACTACACTGGTAACACGATCGTGGGCTGTGGATAGAGCCCATATCCCAGTACCTGTCTTCTAATATGACAGAAAGGAGGCATCGCTAATTCATACTCCCAGAATGCGAGATACCTAGTGTGAGCGGGCTTCTCATTTCTGTCTTTGAGAGACAGAGATGTGGAAGTAGCTTGTGGGAAGGTGTTAGGAAGCTCCCCTGGGAGGAACCACCCTTGCACTGACAATCCTCTCCAGTCTGAGGGTCGGACCCCTGGGTGCCTGGAAGCCCCCGCCTTCAGAACACATTTGTATGGCCTGGTGTAAAAGCCAACCAAAAAGACTGAAGCAGAGGGGGCCGGCGCTGTGGCATAGCATGTAAAGCTGTCGCCTACAGTGCCGGCATCCCACATGGGCACCAGTTCGAGTCCTGGCTGTTCCTCTTCCGATCCAGCTCTCTGTTATGGCCTGGGAAGGCAGTGGAAGATGGCCCAAGTCCTTGGACCCCTGCACCCATGTGGGAGACCCAGAAGAAGCTCCTGGCTCCTGGCTTCAGATCGGCGCAGCTCCAGCCATTGTGGCCAACTGGGAAGTGAACCAGCAGATGGAAGACCTCTCTCTCTCTGCCTTTCCTTCTCTCTCTGTGTAACTATGACTTTCAAATAAATAATAAATAAATTGGCCGGCGCCGCGGCTCACTAGGCTAATCCTCCGCCTTGCGGCGTCAGCACACCGGGTTCTAGTCCCGGTCAGGGTGCCGGATTCTGTCCTGGTTGCCCCTCTTTCAGGCCAGCTCTCTGCTGTGGCCAGGGAAGTGCAGTGGAGGATGGCCCAGGTGCTTGGGCCCTGTACCCCATGGGAGACCAGGATAAGTACCTGGCTCCTGCCATCGGATCAGCGCAGTGTGCCGGGACGGCCGCGGCGGCCATTGGAGGGTGAACCAATGGCAAAGGAAGACCTTTCTCTCTGTCTCTCTCTCTCACTGTCCACTCTGCCTGTCAAAAAATTAAAAAAAAATCTAAAAAAAAAAAAAAAAGACTGAAGGAGAATGTCCAGACAAGGAGAACGCACTGTGTCCCTGAGGCTAGGTGAGAGCCAGTTTCTAGGAGCAATGAATGGTTAGTACTACATTCAAGAATCAAAGTGGGCTGGGGCCCAAGCAGTGAATGTTCGCTTTGGCAACTCTGAGGGGGTGACCTTGGCAAGGATGCCTTCACAGAGGCCAGACTGCAACAGGTGAAGGAGGGAAATGGGAGGGGAGTGGATATCCCTCTCAGGAAGTCTGGCTGTGGTTAGAGAGGAAAGAGACAGAGCCATAGGTGGAGGCAGAGGCAGAGCTACGGATGGGAGTGATGTTTGTCAGGATGGAAGAGATGCGTGTGTTTTCAAGTTGAGGGGCTTCTGTGGAAACTGCCGTTTTGTCTCACCCTAAATACTCCCTGAAGGGGAACTCCATCTCACACCAGCTGGACCGAAACTTCTGGAGGATGGAGTCCAGGCATTAGTATTGATCCCTCTGTATCTGTCTCTTCCTCTCTCTCTCTCTCTGTCACTCTGCCTTTCAAATAAATAAATACATCTTTCAAAACATGAAGATAAACTTAGGAACCCTACTGCCTGGGCTCAGATCCCAGCATCATCACTTACTGCCTGTGTGTCCTTGGGAAAGTTACTTAACCCATCTGAGTCTCCACTAATAATATATAAACAGTAACATAATCTATAATTTCTCATCTCTTTTTTCTTTTTTTTATTTGCAAGGCAGAGTGACAGAGAGAGAGAGAGAGAGAGAGAGAGATTCAGAGAGATACAGATATCTTCCACTGGTTCATTCCCCAAATGGCCACAATGGCTGAAGCTGGTCCAGGCCAAATCCAGGATCCAGGAACTCCACCTAGGTCTCCCACATGGTTTTCAGAGGCCCAAGCACTTGGGCCATCTTCTGCTGCTTTCCCAGGTGCATTAGCAAGGAGCTAGATCAAAAATGGAGCAACCAGGACTCCAATCTGTGCGCATACGGGATGCTGTTATCACAGGTGGCAGCTTAACCTGCTGTGCTACAGTGCTGGCCCCAGAAATCTGTTTAAACTTTTAAAATTTCTTTATTTGAAGAAGAAGAAGAAGAAGAAGAAGAAGAAGAAGAAGAAAGAGAGAGAGAGAGAGAGAGAGAGAGAATCTTCCATCCCATCCACAAATGCCCACACCAGCCAGCACTCAAGCCACTAACCTGCTGCCTCCCAGGGTATGACTTTCTCAGAAACTGAACTGGAAATGGAGCCAGGACACAAATTGGGCACACTGATATCAGATGTGGGCATTCCAAGTGGCATTTTAACTGAAGTACCACAACATGGCCCCCAACTCCCTACCTTCCAATCTGTATATTCCCTTTATGAGATATGAAATGTACCTGTAGCCACAAAGTTGTGTGAACTAAATGAGTTAACATCTGCAAAGTGCTTAGACTACTGCCTAGCTCAAGAGAAGATGAGCTGTTGGAGCTGATCTGTTTTCTAGTATCCCTCCTATTGTCTCTCTAACTAAAACATGTTTGGGAGGGTAGAAGCCTGACAGTGCTGGGAGTGGGGAGCTATCTTCACCCTCAGAACGAGCAGGTTGCTTTTCGGTTCTGTAGATCATGACTCTCACTTATGTAGCCACCAAAAGAGGTCTCAACTTTTTCAAGGAGCAGGGTGCTAGAGATGGCACGTGCCTTTTATTTCCTGCATGGTGCACAAAGAGGACACGGCCCTTCTCTGAGACAGGCTTTAAAGGTCTGAATGGCATCACCCTCAGCCGAGGCCAGTCCTACAAATTCCACAGAAGGAATTCCCAGGGGTCACTCTGTGTCATCTCCCTCCCCCAATGCCAGAAACAGGACTCAGAGGACACCCCCCACCTGAATGGCGTGGGGTAATTGGAAGCCTCATCCTGTTCCTGCGACCTCACAGTCCGCTCTCTATGCTCTGGGAAAATCTGACAAGAGATTGACTTTTTTTTTTTTTTTTTGACAGGCAGAGTGGACAGTGAGAGAGAGAGACAGAGAGAGAAAGGTCTTCCTTTGCCGTTGGTTCACCTTCCAATGGCCGCCGCGGCCGGCGCGCTGCGGCCAGCGCACCGCGCTGATCCGATGGCAGGAGCCAGGAGCCAGGTGCTTTTCCTGGTCTCCCATGGGGTGCAGGGCCCAAGCACCTGGGCCATCCTCCACTGCACTCCCGGGCCACAGCAGAGAGCTGGCCTGGAAGAGGGGCAACCGGGACAGAATCCGGCGCCCTGACCGGGACTAGAACCCAGTGTGCTGGCGCCGCAAGGCGGAAGATTAGCCTAGTGAGCCGCGGTGCCGGCCAAGAGATTGACTTTTGAAATAGAAAATCTGCTGTTGAGAGAAATTAAGATTTTCACCAAAGGCTCGGCAGCGCAGACTCAGGCTGGCCTTTCTGTCAACTGAAGCGGGATAGTGGAGAATAGCACCTGTATCAGTCTGTTTTCTGTAGCTACAACAAAATACTTGAGGAGGAATAATATATACAGAAAAGAAGTAGAGGCAGGTGCTGTAGTACAGTGGGTTAAGCTGTTCCTTGTGTTGCCTATATCCCATATCAGAGTGATGGTTTAAGTCTTAGTTACTCCAATTTAGCTCCCCGTTAATACGCCTTGTGAGGTAGCTCCTGCCATCCCTGCAGGAGACCAGGATGGAGTTCTGGGCTCCTGGTTTCGACCTAGCCCAGCCTTGGTTCTTTGTAGGCAATTTGGAGAGTGAACCAGCATGTGGAAGTCTTTCTCTTTCTCTCTCTGTCACCCTGACTTTTTTTTTTTTTTGACAGGCAGAGTGGACAGTGAGAGAGAGAGACAGAGAGAAAGGTCTTCCTTTGCCGTTGGTTCACCCTCCAATGGCCGCCGCAGCTGGAGTGCTGCGGCCAGCGCACCGCACTGAGCCGATGGCAGGAGCCAAGTACTTCTCCTGGTCTCCCATGGGGTGCAGGGCCCAAGCACTTGGGCCATCCTCCACTGCACTCCCTGGCCACAGCAGAGAGCTGGCCTGGAAGCGGGGCAACCGGGACAGAATCCGGCGCCCCGACAGGGACTAGAACCCGGTGTGCTGGCACCGCAAGGTGGAGGATTAGCCTAGTGAGCCGCGGCGCCGGCTATCACCCTGACTTTCGAACAAACAAATATATGAATGAATAAATAAATATTTTTAAAAAAGAAATGAGGCTCTTTAGCTAAATTTTGGAAGACGAAATTCCATAATCAGATGGCCTCATGTGTTTGATTTCTGGTGAGGCCCCCCTGGCTATATTACAGTATGGCAGATGTATCATGGTGGGGGTGCATGTAAGAGGGAGAGATCACATGGCGAGACAGGAAGCCAGAGGGATCTAGGGGCTAGGCTTGTTCTTTTACAACTCATCTCTCAAAACTAACTGCAGTCTAGGCTAATTCCTTCTGAGGGTACACCCCTAATGACCTAACTATGTTTCACGAGGTCCCTTTTTAAAGTTTCCATCACCTCTCCACATTGTCACACTGGGGTCCACACTTCTAGCATTTGAACCTTTGGGGGACATCCAAATCATAGTAGGGCCTTGTTTCAAAGTATTTGTACACTTCACAACATGATAAAGCTTTAACTTGTCCAGTATTTTACACCTCACAAGGCCCTTGAAAACATCCAGGGTCATTTGCACCTGATCACAGCCCTTCAAGTTGGAAGTGCATGTTGTTATCTTCACATTGTAGATGAAGAAACTAAGGCTAAGGGGGTGGGGTGGGGGTGGTGGTGAAATAACTTCCTCTAGAGACCTAAAGTAAGGGCCTGAGCTCGAGTTCAGATGCAGGGCTTCCCACACTGTGTTGGCTACATCTCCCCAGTCCTTGTAGCTGCTTCTTTCCACAAAGAAAGAAACCTAATTTTGTATTGATGTCTTCCAAGTGTGTTTGCTGGCTCAGGGAAATGAGGATTCAGTCTCTCAGCTTGACAAAAAAAATGATTTGCCAGTGTAATTGTTCTATATGTTAATGGCTTTTATTATTCTTTGTACAAACAACTTTATAACAACATTAATTGAAATCTAAGGGAAAGAAAAAATCAGCAAGCCTGCTACCCACAATCAATCAAATTTTGATTTCTTCACAGTTCTCTTCCTGTTCTTGACCATGTGCAGACATACTTTTTATAGGATTGTAAAGCTCAGCACAGATACAGTTTTGCATTGTGCCTCTTGTCTATTATACTTTATTAGAAGCATTGTCCATGTTGCTCAATAGTTTTCATAATTAGCTCTTTAGTGGCTCCACCATATTTCAGTGAGATTGGATACACCATATTTACTTGGCTAGTCCCCTGTAATTTGACATTAGGGTGGCCATTGTACTTTTTTTTAAAAAATATCTCCTTTTTTTTTTCTTTTTGCTTACTTTTAGTTCTGGCCCAGGAAATGTGAGACCATGAGGGGACTTTAAAAGTTCCTGGAGGGGCTGGTGCTGTGGCATAGCGGGTAAAGCTGTGGCCTGCAGTACTGGCACCCCATATGGGCACCAGTTAGAGTCCCAGATGCTCCACTTCTGATCCGGCTCTCTGATATGGCCTGGGGAAGCAGCAGAAGATGGCCCAGATTCTTGGGCCCCTGCACCCACATGGGAAATCTGGAAGAAGCTCCTGGCTCCTCGCTTTAGGTAGGCTCAGCTCTGGCCATTGTGGCAAACTGGGGAGTGGACCAGCAGATGGAAGACCACTCTCTCTCTCTCTCTCTCTCTGCCTCTCCTTCTCTCTCTGTGTGACTCTTTCAAATAAATAAATAAATCTTTCAAAAAAAGTTCCTGGAAAAATGAAATTAAAACAATGGTTGCTGTAGGCATTTAGCCTACCAGTTAAGACATTCCTTGGGGCATCCACATCTGATATCACA